GGGGTTATGGTGGTCGTGGTGGGGTGGGATGGAGTGGTGGCACTGATCATGGCGGCAATGGTGGTTGTTTGGTTTAAATTGTGAGGAGGTAAATAGTGGGGAAAGTTTTGGACTAAGACGGAATAAAAATAAAATATTTAAGACTAAATTTGTCTATAATGAAAATTCTATAAAATTCTTATTTGCAACATTCTATGATAAATAAGAGTTTTTTTTAATGCTTTGTTTGGTAAAAATGATGAAAAATATGAAGGATAATAAATAGGGGAAACACTTTCTATCCTTCAAGGAAGGAAAATATAAATAATACACTTTCTTTCTTTTGTGTTTGGTAGGATGGATAAAAAATAAAAATGATTAAATTTTTTTTTATGCTTGGTAAGATAGAAAAAATATATTTTTTTTTTTATTATTTTTTGGAGGGATTATGAAACACCACTTTAATAGAAGTTTTATTGAAAGCCTAACGAATATANATTATTATTTTTTTTAAAGAGTATATTTTTTGGAGGGATTATGAAACACCACTTTAATAGAAGTTTTATTGAAAGCCTAANTTTATTATTTTTTGGAGGGATTATGAAACACCACTTTAATAGAAGTTTTATTGAAAGCCTAACGAATATAGAGAAAATTTTACAGTTGCAAGCCACTTGAGACATAATAGCTTCAGCCATGACTCCTCCCCCTCCCCTTTCCTTTTTTCCAACAATACTGGGAGATTATCGGGTTGGGGCACTAGTGACTAGCCAAAAGGTATTACAAAATTTGTTGGATGGGATTGACAATAGATGGACTTTGTATAACTTTCCCTAATAAGCTAATCTACCTTACATAACAGTCCAATTCGTCATCCTCTTTCACTGAACTACATGTTTTCTCAATCTCAAGTCCTTTTTTTTATTTTTTTTTATTCTTCCATAATATGAGAATACATCTATATAATAAAACATAACATAAAGTATAATGGCAGTTTGAATCATTTGAGTATAATTATTTATCATAGGATTTATATTTTTATCTTTTACCCACAATAAATCTATTATTATTTTAACTTTTAACCACAGTAAATCTATCTATTTAGAGTTTAACGACAATAAATTCATTTAATTATATTTAAATTAAGTTTTAAACAACGTCGTAGCACTTAGTAGAGAATCAGTGAAAAAAACATTTATAAAGTTGTTATTGTTTAGTATTTTATCAAGAAACGAAACTATATGGTACTTTCTCTCCCTCTCTCTCTCTCAACACTCAATGGCACGTGCACACACATACTCTCACGCATGCGCACAAACCTTTTCAATTCCATCACCTTCGTGTCTCGCTCGTTGGAAAATTCACTAAGTATATAAAACAAAGAGAAAGAAGGTGAACTTGGTCACCAAAAAAATGGAAGTCACAATCTCTTGGATAGGGATAATATAATTCTTCTAGCAATATCTTTAAATATTCTCACAACTTGCTCACAATCCTTGGATAAGTAGAATATAATTCCTCCAATAATATCTCCAACTGAATATTTTGAAAGGCATGCCCATGTCTATGGAAACCAAATAATGCATAGTTGATGTTGAGAGTTACGCCTTCTTGGAAGGAAAAATTTTGCAAGTCCATTTGAGTTTTTATTAATGCCCGTTTGGATGGTGGTAACCTTCGATGGAAATGGAAATTACATTCTTAAATTCTTAGGTCATCATGTTTGAATGATCAAGTAATTAGTAATTTAAATTGAGAATAAGATTACTAGTGTAATTAAATTTTCAAGAATGATGAGTACCCTAAACCCATGGTCAATGTTGTAATATCATTTTCACCTTGATTGAATGAAATTCTAAAATCAAGCTCATTTTCAAAATTCAATTTAACTTACCACCAAAGTCCCTTCCTAAAATCAAGTTTCTTACCAAAATTAAATTCATGACTAAAAAATTATAATTCCCGTAATAAAATATTGACAATGACCATAACACGAAATAAAATATTACTATGGTAATCAGAATCTGGGTATCTCATTATTAGAAATGAGACATCTATTCTTAGCTAGTAATGAGATACTCATTTCAACTGACACGATTATTGTCATCCAACCCTCACAATATAATAAACTAATCTAATACGACCCACTTTAAACCCTTTTAACCATTTTAAAACTATTTTGCATGAATCAGAGTTGAGATATAGTGCTTAAATCACAAATTAACATGTCAAAACCAATATTGGCTGACTGTGTATAGGTCTTAACATCATAGAACATAAGCACACCCCAAATAACATTACCGATCCCAGGTTATGTATTCAAGCATAGTGACAAAACATATCCCAAGTAGCATAACAAAAACGCAATCCCAAACAAAGTTGTCAACTCATATTGCTTCATACACTGAATAGGAGAAGTAAATTCCCAGAGTTAGAGTCTAGAATGAACCAAAATCCAAATTCAATTTAACAGAAATTCAACAATTAAGCAATTCGAGCCAAAAAAAAAAGAAGTATTGAGATTGAGAATGAAGGAAAAACCTTCAATAATTGATCTTTTCTCATTTACATTTAAGGTGACGGGATTCCAAAGAAATCCCATATCAAGTTGTTTGAAGCCGATGGTGGATTCCTCCATATCCATCTCCAATTTTATAACATTAAATTAACACCACAATTTGAGAGAAAGAGAGAGAGAGAGAGAANTACTTTCTCTCCCTCTCTCTCTCTCAACACTCAATGGCACGTGCACACACATACTCTCACGCATGCGCACAAACCTTTTCAATTCCATCACCTTCGTGTCTCGCTCGTTGGAAAATTCACTAAGTATATAAAACAAAGAGAAAGAAGGTGAACTTGGTCACCAAAAAAATGGAAGTCACAATCTCTTGGATAGGGATAATATAATTCTTCTAGCAATATCTTTAAATATTCTCACAACTTGCTCACAATCCTTGGATAAGTAGAATATAATTCCTCCAATAATATCTCCAACTGAATATTTTGAAAGGCATGCCCATGTCTATGAAAACCAAATAATGCATAGTTGATGTTGAGAGTTACGCCTTCTTGGAAGGAAAAATTTTGCAAGTCCATTTGAGTTTTTATTAATGCCCGTTTGGATGGTGGTAACCTTCGATGGAAATGGAAATTACATTCTTAAATTCTTAGATCATCATGTTTGAATGATCAAGTAATTAGTAATTTAAATTGAGAATAAGATTACTAGTGTAATTAAATTTTCAAGAATGATGAGTACCCTAAACCCATGGTCAATGTTGTAATATCATTTTCACCTTGATTGAATGAAATTCTAAAATCAAGCTCATTTTCAAAATTCAATTTAACTTACCACCAAAGTCCCCTCCTAAAATCAAGTTTCTTACCAAAATTAAATTCATGACTAAAAAATTATAATTCCCGTAATAAAATATTGACAATGACCATAACACGAAATAAAATATTACTATGGTAATCAGAATCTGGGTATCTCATTATTAGAAATGAGACATCTATTCTTAGCTAGTAATGAGATACTCATTTCAACTGACACGATTATTGTCATCCAACCCTCACAATATAATAAACTAATCTAATACGACCCACTTTAAACCTTTTTAACCATTTTAAAACTATTTTGCATGAATCAGAGTTGAGATATAGTGCTTAAATCACAAATTAACATGTCAAAACCAATATTGGCTGACTGTGTATAGGTCTTAACATCATAGAACATAAGCACACCCCAAATAACATTACCGATCCCAGGTTATGTATTCAAGCATAGTGACAAAACATATCCCAAGTAGCATAACAAAAACGCAATCCCAAACAAAGTTGTCAACTCATATTGCTTCATACACTGAATAGGAGAAGTAAATTCCCAGAGTTAGAGTCTAGAATGAACCAAAATCCAAATTCAATTTAACAGAAATTCAACAATTAAGCAATTCGAGCCAAAAAAAAAAAGAAGTATTGAGATTGAGAATGAAGGAAAAACCTTCAATAATTGATCTTTTCTCATTTACATTTAAGGTGACGGGATTCCAAAGAAATCCCATATCAAGTTGTTTGAAGCCGATGGTGGATTCCTCCATATCCATCTCCAATTTTATAACATTAAATTAACACCACAATTTGAGAGAAAGAGAGAGAGAGAGAGAGAAAGAAATATAAAGCAAACAGCTACAATATGGCACTTGCTATAACACCTGTTACTCATGACATTACATCACCACTGTATTACAGCGAGTGAGTTGGGAAATGAAAATTTTTGAATAATTTCATTGTTGGAATACCATGTAAAAGAAGGCTCGTGGCACATGTGTTGGATTAGGATTATCGTGTCCTTAACAAGATCACAGTAAAAAATCACTATATTTTGCCTACATGTCGTAGAAGAACCTCGTGGCCAACTGGGTAACATCATTATTATCAAATCACTGCATTTTGTTTAACACCGGTCTGCCACACATCACAATGTGCATTTATTATCATATTCAACTTTATCTTTTATCTAGCATTTTTGTGGTATCTCTTGACACTATTTTGCAACCCCAAGACCAATGTGTCTCAATGCTCTCTAAGTAGGTGTTGATGCAACACAACCTTAAACCATGCTTAAACGAGGAGTCTAAGTGCAAGATTGAGGTATTACAATTTTATATGATAAGTTCAAAAATATTATACGACATGCATGAGATGGAATATAGAAGCAAGACCGGGATATGGATGAGGGAAGACATGAAAATGAACCTCATAAATTTTCATAAAACAATGGATATCATAGAAATAAAACATGTCAAGGACACTGATGCCTATTTCAAGTGCAATTGAAATGGATTTCTCTAAAAGTTTTTAGACAAATTCCTCTTCTTTCATATAAATAGATTGGTTCTTATTCCATATGCAAGTGCTTAGTTATTCTATTTTTGTGGAGACAAAATTGTATCAATCAGGGTAGCACTAATTCTTATCGAGCAGAATTCGATTCATCTTTCTTTCAATGGAGGAATCTAGATGAATGTCAAGTTGCATTAGCAAAAAGGAAGAATAAGATCCTCTCACACAAATCAACATAACTTCTCTATATAAGGAGATCATGTAGCAACACCTTTACCAAGTGAAACAAGTGTAAGAATTCTCTGAAACAGAAAGTTTCTTCGACGCTACGCTGAACAATGGCTGGGTATGGTTACCAGAGAGGGGGCTACACCACCCGTAACGGGTGGGACACCCGCACAGATGATTGGAGCCAAAAAAACTACTCAGGAAATGCCAATTCAGATCATGTGCACCACCCGGTCATTGTTGATGCCCAAGGGAGAGAAAGGCCCATCTCTGAGAGCTATGCCACACAAACTGAGAAAATCATTGAGTGTGTTCAGGTACCTGTAGTCACTGAGTACAAATATATCTCTCCAACAGAGGTGGAGTCCTTCAAAAATTATAGAGTCGAGAACGATAGATGGCAGTGGCCAAAGAGTACTCCAGTAGTTCAAGATCGCCCACAAAAAGTTGAGGTACATGTTCAAACACCTGCACCCACTGAGTACACATATAGCTCTCCAACAAAGGTAGAGCCTTTCAAGGAATACAGAGTTAACAATAATAATAAATTGCTCGGTCGCCCACAAAAAGTTGAGGAATTTGTCACCAAAATCCAAACTGACGTCAGCCAACCAACTCGGCCTGATTCGAGCCCAACGTATTGGCGTGACACCCCCAATTCCATAGGCTACAATGGCAACGCGGGCTATGGTGGGTACAAAAACTTCAACAATAGGGAGAAACCTGATGACTACTACTGCAGCAGAAATGATACCTTCACAGACCCAAATTTGAACAACAGAGATGGCCAGGATAGGCCAGATAGTAAGGGTTGGGCTATGCAGCCTCCTAGTCCACCACTCTCCAAACCAACAAATGACATTGGGACAGCTGTGGAGTTCCTGAAGGGAGCTATTACTACTTTAACACAGCCACGTTTTGGTATCCCGGTCTCAGCAATGCCCAAAAAGGATCCTTATACCGAAACAATTGGCGTAGAATACCCCCATCCCCAGAAAGCTGTTAAGCCAGCAACTGTCACTTTTACTGCACCACCACCATCAATCGTGCCCCAAAAGGAACCTTATGGAGATATAATTGACAGCAGGGAGGCCACAAGGCGATATGGAAACTCCAACAATTCATCAGCAATGCCGTATAAGAGAGAAGAAAGTTACACAGGAGTCATTGACAGTAGAGAGGCCGTCAAAAGGTATGGTGGAACCTATGTGTGATGATGAGCATCTACACGTGTTGTATCCACAAACTGCAACTTGGATCTCTTTCGAGTTGTCTTTGTGATGATCATACAGGTTTATATGGCTCCACCTAGCTACTACAACAGTCTTTTTTCTTTTTGCTTTTTTCTTTTTCTTTTTCTTTTTTCTTTTTTTCTGTTTCCTTTAGTCTACTGTTTTCTGTAACTTTTATTAGTGGTTGCTTGTGTGGTGATATTAGCAGCTAAAATAAGCTCACATAGTGAGCAACCATAATAATCATTGTTATGTTTGCCCGAGGGTAACTTATGGCTGCAGTGAAGCAGCAGATAGGTGTTAAACCTACTTAGTTTGCAACTAGAGATATTGAGAATAACAATTGCTATGCACTAGTTTAATATATTGTATGTGTTTTTATGAGTGTTGGTTGTATTTTTTTTAATCATTATATTTGTTGGGAGATTGGCGAGCCCAATGATTCAAGGCTCAATATACATGTATCTGAAATTCATATCTACCTAAATTTTCTATCGGATGTGGGATTTCTCACATATATAATACCCAATAATATTTTTCTGTTGATTATGGTACTCATGCCGAAGTTGTAAATCATCTACTTTTGGTTTTCAACTCAATTCTTGTTGTGATTCATGTGTGCGATGAATAATCAATGAAACAGAATAATAGAACAAGATCATAAGAATTTACATGGTGTCAACAATTTGCCTGCGTCCACAATCTTAGAGCGGCTGCCTTGTTTTTATTCCACACTGAATTATGATTACAACTTAACTTATATATGTTACAACCTTAATTAGGGCATCCCGAAAGCACGTACTACTCCATACCGCACCACCTAAAGAACTTTCAGCAATGGGTTGAAAATCATTTTGTTCTAAACAAATTGTGTTCACAATTAACTCTAATTTCTAGCATAACCACAGCTCCGTTGCAGTTTCTAACTAACTAGCATCACGTGGCAGAACATGTGCGCCAATGGAACAGGCACTTCTTTCAGTTCTATGAAATCATTTTGTTCCTGTTTTCATTCGTTTAGTTTTCATGGAAACTGAAATGATATTCCTGCTTTCATTCGTTTTATTTTTAGTTTTATGAGAGCACTACTACCAAATGACTAGAGAAGAGAGACTTTTTTCACAATCAATATTGTTGATGTGAAGAGCTACCTATCAGTAACAACACCCTAAAATTTTACCGAGATAAGAGTTGATTTTTCGATCTTCAAGCCAAAGTTTTCACTCAATCTTGATATTCCCTTTCACATTGGATTACTTCACCTTAACAAAGAAGTTAAATTTCGTTTCGAAATGGTCAAAAACCCTGACGTTTTTGTTATGGTGAAAATCAAAATGAAACAACCGTTGAATATCAGAATTGCTATGTTTAGAGGTGTTTCAACGTGTTTGTTTCGACCAATATTTAAGAATGTTTTAATCAATATGTTTCAAGATGTATCACAAATTAATGTTCAATTCTTTTTATTTCTATCATATTGTAAAATTTCTCTGAAATATTTTTTAAACGTTTTCATTCTAAATTAACCAAAATTATGCACTGAAATAAAATTTTGATTATTTATGTTGTCACACTTCATATCCAACACATCACGAATCCGATGGTACCTTTTTTGATTCGAACTAAATCCCTTCACAACTAGTCTTGCCTTATACCTGACATGTGAGATATTACCTTCAATCTTCGATCCCTAAATCCACTTGTTTTTGAATGCCCTTTTACTTCTAGGCAAATGTACTAAATCATAAATATGGTTCTCATGCAATGATTGTAACTCATTTTGCCCTAATTTACACCCCTCTTTCTTGTGCTCATCTAGAATAGCCTCTCGTTAGATTTTTGGTTCGTCCATGTCCATCAGCATCACGTATTATTCATCACGAGAGTATCTTTTAGAGGCTTTACATTCTATGGTAGATCTTCTCTAATGAACACTTTATAGTGGTACATGTCCATCTTGCTCCTGTGCCTCCTCCTCATCACCTACATCATCATGATTTTTTTTTTGCATCTCCCTCATGAGTCATGAGCATCATGTAGTATGGGTGGAGGAATTGGATCCAATTCGATAAGAGAACTGATAGGATTTATTCTTCTTTATCTTCTCCATAACTTCAATAGTTTGATCTTCAAGGAACACAAATTCCCTACTTTTGACAACTTTATTGTCCATAGGACCCCATAATTTGTATTCGAATTCATCATGTGCATAGGCAGAGAAGATGCGCTACTTGGCTTTATCTTCAAGCTTCTGACTTTTCTTCTTTAGGAATATGTATGAATGCCCAAAAACCAAATACCTTTTCAATATAGGAGTCTTTGGTTGTATTTATCTACCTTTTGAACAATTTAGTTATGTAGCAAGTGTTCAATTTTCTTCCTCTAGCCGGTAGCAATGCACCTTTGGTGAGCTTCCATTTTCCTCCACTAAAGTTGCTATAGTAGAAGGTAGATATCAAAATCTCGACATCTTTGAGTACCACTGTGCAATTTAGGTTGGTTTCTAAAGAAACATCTCGCATACCCATAATTATGGATGCACCATCATTCCCAAGTCTTACATAGCTAGAAACATCGCTAGTGCAGGACGTGAAGAAATCACTCTATGATTTACCATGGAAAGAGGCACCTGAGTTAATCACCCAATTGGTATCTTGATTTACGAGGCTGACACAAACATCATCACATATAATCACGGTATCCCTATCAGTTGTTTCAATGGTTATATCTTATTCGTCTCCATCACCTTTGGCAGGGTTATACAAATCCCTACACTAAAGAATATATATCTTCCATTCAAGGCTTCCAAATGGAATAATTCGAGGAGATCAATTTTAAAAATTATCCTACATTTTAATATACACAAGATACTTTATATTTACCAACCAACGACTCTGATACCACTTGATTTTTTTTACAGCCAGAGCTTGTTTTGTACCCATGTGGTTGGACCACGCCCATCAACATTGTGGTTGTTGACTAACTTCGAGTGGAGCCGAAAACAAAAATGATAAGAAAGGAAATTTTGTTAGATAGTATAACATAGCATTCACAGTCACAAAAAGAATAGACAAACACTCATATTTCGTACAGTGAACAAGTGGTTGTAGAGGAGCAACACATAGCAGGAATTTTCATTTAAATATTGAAATCATAATTACAATCAAATAGTAAAATAGCCTTCAATTTCCAGTTTGGAGGTAGAGACTTGGACATGCAGGCTTTAGCTATCCAATCTCCTGCCTTGTTGTTTGCTCTTGGTGTATGTGAGAATTGGAAGTTTAGATTTTTTGCGCAGTTTCTGATATCCTCCAATAATGTTGCTATCTCCCATGATGGATCATCCTCATTTGCACTAAACAGTATGACCTCTGTGTTATCACCCTCGATCACTGCATTGTTCAAATTCAAAGTGTGGGTCATCAGGCATGCCTCCCTAACTNTGATATCCTCCAATAATGTTGCTATCTCCCATGATGGATCATCCTCATTTGCACTAAACAGTATGACCTCTGTGTTATCACCTTCGATCACTGCATTGTTCAAATTCAAAGTGTGGGTCATCAGGCATGCCTCCCTAACTGCAGCAGCTTCTGTGAAGCGACTAGACACCGCTGGAATCTCCTTTGTATTTCCCTCTATGATGGATCCCCTCTCGTTTCTAATAATGACCCCCAGCGTTGCCTTGCCTTTTGATGGGTGCTCAATCGAGCCAGAACAGTGTGGGTTCTCTTGGTTCTCTTCTTTTAAAGATGCATAAAATGTTGGGATTTAACTCGATTTAAATCCACTAACAAACACACACAATTGAAGAATAAATCAAGAATATAAAGCAATAAGAAACAANCTGGATGCATAAAATGTTGGGATTTAACTCGATTTAAATCTATTAACAAACACAAACAATCGAAGAACAAATCAAGAATATAAAGCAATAAGAAACAAGAAAGAACAAGACACAGATTTTACGTGGTTCGGCAATTTGCCTACATCCACGAAGCTGCAGGAATTTCACTATTGAGAGAGTTGAATTACAGAGAGCGGCTGTACAATTCACAACAAACCTTAATCACCAAAACAACAGGGTTTATATGTCCTACGCACTGGGCTGTATAACGGGCCCAAAAAAATTTTCTCGGGGGCGTTGCCCCCGAACCCCACGAGGCTTGTCCATGAGCGCTACTAAGTCTCAGAAAATTTTCCATTAAAAACCACACAACATTACTTCAGGTCGGGTCATCATCCGGATCACATATACAAACTAGACTCCATAAAAAAAAANTTATATGTCCTACGCACTGGGCTGTATAACGGGCCCAAAAAATTTTCCTCGGAGGCGTTGCCCCTGAACCCCCACGAGACTTGTCCATGAGCGCTACGGCTTGGGCCTATCGGCCCAAGCCTTCGCTCCATGGACTAAGTCTCAGAAAATTTTTCATTAAAAACCGCACAACATTACTTCAGGTCGGGTCATCATCCGGATCACATATACAAACTAGACTCCATAAAAAAAACCAACATAAAAGTCTCCCCACTGGCTTTGAGCTTGACATACTGTCGCTAGGGGATTGGGTTCTTTGGAATTAAATATGGCCTCATTTCTCATCTTCCATATAATCCACCCTTCCTTTGCTACTTTGCTGATTAACTATTTAGATTGCTACACATTCTCTAAAGATATCTAACAAGGAAGAAGTCAATGATTTAACTGAAATTAGTTGTTCCTTTTGCACTCTAAGCCCCAAATCAACACCAAACCATACCTTATGGGTCCAGCTGCAACCAAATAACATGTGCTCGACAGATTCCTCAGTAGATTTGCAAATGATGCACAATGGAGATGGTGCACATTTCCTGCTAAATAAGTTTTCTTATGTTGCTAAGGCATTGAAGCATGCTCTCCACCAACAGTGCCTTACTTTTGGGATTGCATCCAGCTTCCAGATCATCTGCCATAGTTTTGGATGGGGTTGTGAAGATGATTCCCCTTTCTCTTTGTAGCTCTTATCCCTTCCTTCTTTTTCCAGGTGATAACCTGACTTGACTTGGTAGTTTCCTCTCTGATTTGGGGCCCATATTCTTTTATCTTCGCCTTTTAATTTGTCGGTGGGGATAGGCAGGATTGCCTTTAGTTCCTTTTGTGAAACAATCCCCTGAAGAGCATCTAGGTTCCATTCTCCTGTCCTACTATTGATAAAACTTTTCCATTGAATAATATCATGCAAGCCTAATCAAATGAGAAGAGCTCTGTCCCTAGTTGTATTGTAAAGGTTAAAGAGATGGGTAGCTGTTATCACACAAATGATGGTAAGGGTAAGGGTCGGTTGTGAATAGGAAAGGTAGGGACAGAGAGTTGTTGGAGGGATCCAACCAAGAACATGAAAGAACAATGATATAGATAAGCTTCTAAATCACACGGGACTCTCCGTCCTGCTAGAATATTGATCTTATGAACTTTTAGCCTCAAAGGTGTTCAAGCTGGGCCTAAGCCAAAAAATTCCCTAAACATGTGGACCTCTCTCGCCAAATTCCCCAAAAATATTTGATCATTATTTTGCAAATGTGACCGATATGCATCATATTATATAAGCAATATACATGTGCGTATATAGGTGATTAAGTTTGGGAGGAGGTTAAGAGTGTATTTGTCGTAACTTAAAAAATATATATATTTTTTATATATTGACTTATCATAAATATTTTTTTAAAAAAATAGTGATTGGTTCAATTTTTTAAAAACACTTTTTAATAAGTAAAAATAATTTTAATGCTTAAATAAGCTATTATGGAGAAGGAAAAAAAATTAACTTTTACTTCCCATAAACGTAAAACACTTACCTCCCCTCTCCCCCCAATATCGCTCACTCTCTGCCACCGCCGATTCTGTCAATCTCTCTCAATCTTTGTCGTTGCACTCGTACTGTGTGGACATGTAGTCATCATCAACTGCTGACTACCTCCGACCACACTCTCTTCTATCATTTCGACGTCACCGGAGAGTTCCATTGACGATGCTAGAGTTTCCCTCTCTCTCACCGATCGTTAATGAAATATGATGTTTGGTTTCAGATTTTCTTTTTGTTTCACAAATTCCTTACATTTTTCAATATTACATTCAAATCCATTTTCTACATTTTCAGACCTGTAATTTTTGAATTGTTCTTTTGGTGTGTCACGGAAGATTGTTAACTACCTGTTTTGTATTCCACGGCTGGCCGTTACGATCCCAATCCTTTCGACGAGGAAGTGAACCCATTTGCGGTAATTACATAATATTCATATATTTGTGTACTTATGCTTTGCATATATATCGTTGTTATGTAATTTCATGGAATGTTTTATGATTGGGTTTTGGTTTTGGGGGCTTTTAATTTTGTTTTTTTGGTTTATGGATTGTATGATGGGCTTGTTGAGCAATGTGGTTGTTTGATTGGATTTTTGTGGTCGATTTCTGGTATTATGTTGTCTGAAATATGCGATCTGTTTGTTGTATTTGATTGTTGATTTAGATTTTTTCTATCAGTGACTACAGGCATATAGTGAAGCTCGTGATTTGTTTTATTCGCATGAGTTTTCTTGATTGTGTTCTTTGTAATTTGAACTTTAACAAGCTAAGATATTATCTATGAATCAATATGCATGTAAGGTGTTTGATAAAATGAGCTCCCAATTCTGTGAAGGGGAAGTGTGGATGTTCATGGGCTTCGATGAATCTTTTGAGACAGATTAAGGAGCTTTTGGGGATGGTTGAGTTTGGGCCGAGGCATGTGTATAGAGAAGCCAATATGGTTGCTGATAGTTTGGCGAATCAGGTAGTCTCTATTACTCATTTTTCAGCCAAGTATCTTAAGGGACAGCATTTGCTCAGGAACATTAGGAATGTTCATCCTAAATGTTTCACCCTTGGTTTGAAGTTGTGGTTGCAAATACAAAGCTTTTGGTGGGAAATGGTTGCACTGCAGATTTTTTGTTGGAAGAAGTTTAAGTTTATGGTATTTCATTAGCTTCGTAGAATGATAGACTGATTTGGCAGCTAAATTCTACGGGAAAATTTTCAGTTAGAATAACATGGGAGCTTGTTTGACTTAAAGGAATGGCCAATCCTGCAGGGGAAATAAATGTTGTAGGCTCTTAACGTTCATTCTTCAATTACAGCAGTTATTTGAATTTAGTGGGTCACCTGGTTATGTCCTCTGACTGGCAAACTCAAATTGATTGCTGCTGTCTGCGCTTCATCTGGACTGCTGTTCAGCTGCTGTCTGCTGTTTCAGCTGGACTCTCGGTTGTCTGCCTTCAACTGCCTCAGCTGGGCTCCTTTTTGCTTCAGTTGGAACCGCTTTTCTGTTTCAGCTGAATTCACATAGCTAGAGTAGCTCAGCAGTCTGATTGGTTCTCCTTTAGTTGGGTTCTCGGCAGGCATCAATGCAGTCAGCAGCTTTTATTGCACTGTTCACGTCACAGTCCAATTGGACTGTTCCGCTAGACTGTTCAGCTGGAGGTCCTTCAACTGGAATTCTGCATAAGTTTTATTTTGCTAGGAGTCTGTCAGCTGATGTCTTAACACTCCAGCTGGAGTTTGCGACATCCTTATTGGCTGCCAGCTTCAGCTGATCAACTGCTGCACTGCCCCAGCTCTTTTTTTGATGAGCATCCCAATGATGCTTATGAAAGAAAGTATTTTTTTAGTTAAGTATTTTTTAAAAAGTAATTATTCAAGAAGTATTTTTGAATTCAATGAGTCATCTCAAACACTACCTAAGTTTTGGAGGGGGAAAAAAGCCTGAGGTGCCATGGAAAAGCAGAAGAAAAGAGTACTGGAACAGTACTTATGGTGATCAAAATCGTATTCGTGAAATCCCTTTCAATATTGACCCAAAAAAACCCCTTTCTATACATTTTTCCTCAATTTTTTCCTCTTGGTCGATGCTTTACCGTACATTCAAGTGTGGCTTAATGTGAAGTGAGAAGATAATATCAAATGAGAAGATAGGATCATTTGATTTTATGAAATCATCCAAATCAACTTTAAAGTAAAAGTTTATCTTTCAAATTTTTGTCTATCTCCCTAAGATCTAATTGTATCTTCACCCCATATATAGGGTCTAACTCCTCTTTATTTAATCAAGAATTAATGAGGACTAGTAGCCTACTAGGCTTTGATTCGTAAATGCAGATTTTATAGACCGAACCACGTAAATTCATAATTGTTCATTCCAAATTAATTTTATTTTATATTTAATTTTATAAATGGTATCAGAGCGGGTTGATCGGATCTTGCTTAATTTCGCTTCCATTTCGTGTTCATTCCGTGTTTATATTTCTTGTATTTGCATGATGGATCATTTCATGCACACAACCATTGCAGAGTGTTTGTTATCAGCTTCACCCATTTGAGAAAAAAAGTTGTTATCCACTTCATTTAAGCCTTTCATCGGTCAATTTCGGGTGTTTCACCTATTTTAATTCAGGTGGTCGTTATCAGTGTATCTTCACCCTATTTATATGGTCTGACTCCTCTGAATTTGGAACCAAGAATTAATGAAAAAATGTAGCCTATTTAGGCTTTGGTCCGTAGATGTACGTCTTATAAACCGAACCATGTAAATTCTTCTATATTCATTTTTGACTAATTTCTTTTTATACTTAATTTTATCACATAAATTGGTTCTCTGCCCATTAATGATAGATGATCCGTTATAAAAAAAAATATTTGAGGAATCTGAATTAGAATTGCAAGGCTATAAATTAGTTAAAGTAGACAGAAGCACGACTAGGTCTACAAAGAAACCAACATGTTCAACTTGTCAACGAGGACCTCATAGCCAACAAGAGAGCCTTGGACTTTTCTTTTATGGATTATACTTTTCAATCTCAATTTGTTTACAAAATAAGCTCGAAAATTTGTTGAAACTCCGGTTATTTTAAAATTTTTACAAACATAAGTCTAACCAAAAAAAAAAAAAAAAAAGAACCTAAACTCGAGATGAGCTTGAGCTATTAGAATGGTTTAACAATCCTAGTGAAAAGGCCCTTCCTTAAGGGTGCCCTCCAAGGTTATGTCTTAGATTTGCGATGAGTTATCACTCACCCAATATGATCAATTGAGCTCCCCATATTGGGAAAGAATAAAAGAAACTGTCAAGTAGGCAAGGACACACATATTCTGACAATAAACAAATAGATGCAAAACTTTCAACAGTTTGAGCATAACAATATGTCAAGTTACCTTTGCTATTCCAATTTATCAAATCTAAACGAATTGGCTGCCTAGGATAACATCAAGGTACAAAATTTCTATATTTGCCAAAAAGAGGTCAAGATCGCTGGAAAGATAAGACCCACCTAGTCAATATAATATGTGACGACGTAGATAAAAGAGAGAGGGGTAGGTAATATAAAGAAATGATAGAGTAATGCAAAGAACATAACTAATAGAGAACAAATTAATACTGAAGTTCAACAATGTCTCAGAACCTGTACTCATCGGGGGGAAGTAGGAGTTACGAGGTATTACTCCAAAAAATGCCAAAAAGGATCAGTGAGAAAATGAATAATAGACAGTTGAGGCAGCCAAATATTGAGGAAGTTAAAGTTGTAGTGTTTGAGCTTGGGGGTTTAAAAACACCAGGTCCAAATGGTCTACTAAAAATAACATTGTAGGGAAAGTCGCAACAAATAATCGGCCTATACTCACCAATTATTTTGGGGAATGAAACCTTTGTAACCAAGGTTACATTTGTTTCATTCAATGCCTTTAGCAGATACCTAGTTCTAAAAAATTACTGCACAACTGCTACTACGTTACCCTACCGATACCTCCCAGTATTTTTGGTAGAAAACACTTATGCTCTATTTGATAGGGAGGATGGAAAGTACAAAGGATGGAAAATATAAGAGATACACTTTATATTCTTCAATGATGGAAAGTAGAAAGGATACACTTTCCTTCCTTTGTGTTTGGTTGGATGGATGGAAAAAAAAAAAAAAAATTTCTTTTTTTGTGCTAGCTAAGATTAGAGATAACAATCAAGTCGTGTTGTGTCAGATTCATGTTGAGTAATTACGAGTTTATGTCCAATATTAGTCAAATCTAACTTAACTCATTTAATTAATTATGTCGTGTCGAGTTGCGAGTTGACCTGTTTATTTTCGTATTAAGTTTGAATCGTATTATCGTGTTAAATCAAAAATTTTCACTCTTAATTAAGATGGAAAAAATATACATTTTTTTAATTTAAAATTTTTATTTTAATTTTTAAATTTTTAAATTTTTAATTTTTAAATTTTTAAATTTTTAAATTTTTATTTTTTATTTTTAAAATTTTATTTTTAAATTTATTTTTAAAATTTTTTAAAAATATATATATATTTTACCATTGTAATTTTATATGAAATTAATGTATACATAATATCAATACAATAAAGTAGAACGAAATTTGAATCCAAAAGACAAAGAGAGGTTCAGATCGTTTTAAGACAAAACATAAACACATTCAACGGATAATATAATCTCAACATAAAAAACAGTTCAGATCATCTCAAAAATTATGATCTAACGATTATAATTAGACTTAACTCTAACAGTTCTATCTCTCATATAACTCTTTATCTCTTATTTCTTAGATATTTTAAACATACTATCTCATCTCCTCTCTCTCTCTCTCTCTCTCTTTATTATATATATATATATATATATATATATATATATAAAATAAAGTAGTTAGATTCAAAACCAATCCAATCGTCATCATCACTTCCACACAAATAAAAAATATAAATATACAATTCATAAATAAAATCATAAAGTTATTATTCATACCAAAAATAAATCACTACTATATCAAAACTTATAGTTCTAAAAAAAAAAACAAAGTCCAATCTAATCACCAATAAAAAAAAATAAGTAACTAATAAAAAATAACAAGTATTACCAATTACATTAAAAAATTTCAAAATCAATATAATTGTCATCACCACTTTCACACAAACAAAAAATACAAATATCCAATACATAAGTAAAACTTTCGAACTATTATGCATACCTAATCACCACTTTGCTCAGTATTACATGAAAACTTATAGTTTTTATAATTTTAATTTTTATTGAAAGTGAACAAAACATATTGTTGATTGTCATAAATGATTAGTTAAAAGAATATCTATTACAAATTTTGTTAATGGCAAAACATCTCATTATTTCATGTTGATTTTTTTTTGTTCAATTTTTATATCTAGGTAGTTATCAAATATTTTATGTTTAATTTTTATAATTGTGCAATTAGAAAATGTTTAACATTTATGCGTGTTTATGAATATTGATGATTTTTTCATGTTGGTTTAGTAGTGTATGTTTTGGCAATAATTTGTTGTTTTTATTTTTTAATGTTTGTGTGGTTTAGTTGTGGATATATTGTTATTAACTAATTATTGTTAAATGTTATATGTTAAAAGTGTATTGCTTATACCTTGATTTAAGTTGATTTTGTTTAATTTCTATTTTTACGATAAATCTTTGCATAAAATTAAAAATATATTTATTAAACACACATAAAATACATAATATCTCTAAGTTTAGTGCTTCTTTTTTCAAGATTTGTCAATTTATGTTTGACCCCAATAACCTCATACACACCATCACTACAACACAAAAATCAGTACCCAAATGGACAATGTCACCATTTTTTGACATGTAAGTTATTTGGTTTATCGATTTTTTCAAAACCTTTGGTATAATATTTCATTAAAAATCATTATATACTTACTATATAATTTTTCATTTTTCTTATTAAAAACTAATTCACACCTAGAATACACTGTAAGTAGATCTTTTTATCACATATCTTAGTAACGATTGTTGATGTTTACTTCTTACTTTTTATCAATCAATGAAATTAAAATTGTCTTTATAATTCATAAATAAGATCATCAATTAATTATTCATACCAAAAATAAATCACTACTGTATGAAAACATATAGTTCTCAGAAAATCAAAAAAAAAAAAAAAAATTTCAAAGCCCAAGCTAATTAGCAATTAAAAAAAATAGGTGACCAATACAAAAAAAAAAATAAGATACCAATTGCACCAACAAAAAATGTTCAAAACTAATATAATCGCTATGTATTGAAATTATTCAAATATCCTATCGTTGTGTGTTGAAATTTTATAAATAACATAGTGCCTTCAGGCACGGGCAATAACTAGTATATATATATATAAAGATATATAGACAAATAAGATACATCTCAACACAAATAATTAAGTTTTCATCCACTTTCCTTCTAATTTTGGAGGGATTGATTTTGGTGAGTTGAAAAAAAAGTTAATTAATCCACTTTTTCATCCTTCTTACTTTCCTTCTTTACCAAACATTATATTTTATTTATCCCTCTAGCTTTTCATCCTTCCAACTTTCCATTCTCCCACTTTTTCATCGTATCAAACAGAGCATTAGAGTGATGACAAGCATACTAAGGCCTTTAATGCCCTATTCAAGGGATACGTACAAATCCAATACGATAATATTATAGCACAATAAATTTTACATTCAACAAGGCTGAAGAAAAAGCCTAGGAATATCACAAGGCTCTTAAACTAAATATGGCTAAATCT